ATGCCACCATCCCTTGCCAAAGAGCCACTCTCCCCCATGGCTTCCTCAACGCCCGACGCTATATCCTGTCACGAGAGACGTGCAAAGTGCAGGAGCTTGTCTGGCAGGGGCGCCACTTGGACTTGCTCCCAGCCCACCACAGGATGCCCAGAGAGGAAAACCAGCAAAGGCATGGATGGCATCGCAAAGCTGATCTCCTAGTCCAGGCTCTATCGTTAGTATTAAAGACTGAGGCCGAAAAAGCACTGGATGCCTCTGCTTTTTCTGCATCCCTATTTGCCAGGGGACCATCTACACCAAGTATGGGTCCAATGTTTTCCTTGGACCTCCTCTAGCTATTAACATACTTAATCAAATCCTTTCTTGTCTGGCACAACAATACCCAGCTTCAACTCTAGTTGAGCTTTGGCCTTTTGTGTCTTCCCCCTGCATATGCGAACCACAGCTCTGTACACTTCCTGTGAAGCCTGACTCTGCTTCTAGAGATCACTCAACCTGTTTTTCCTTCTGAGTTCCAAAAGGAGTTCCCTGTTGAGACAAGCAGGTCTTCTGCCTTGCTTGCTTGACTTGTGCCACAACAGGAGGGCCTGCAACTGTGCTTTGAAACGGTGGGTCTTCAAGACTGGCCAGCACTCGTGGACCCCTGAGCCCTCAAAAGCAGATTCCCAGGGGACACTGCTAAAGATCTTTGGGCTGCCCTGCCCCAGTGCTCAGGACTGGGAGGCTGGGAGAGCACGAGGGACATGTCGCCTGCTGCAGCACTTGGGTGGAATGAAATCGTGGTGCACTCCGAGAAATCCTCCCCTTTGGCTTTCCCGTGCCGCTGAGACAGCGCTGGAAAGCATTCCCTGCGGTGGGTTGCTCTTTGGTCAAGAAACACACAGGCCGTGGAGAGCAACGAGGTGTTTATTGGAGGTGACAGAGGCAGATGCTGAGGGGCCACAGCTGCTCTGTGCTGTTGTGTGGGTGCGGACAAACAGCTACATCATGCTCCACCACAGCTACACTGTGCCATGGGTTTGTCTCTGCGCTGCCAGTTGCTCTGCTTCCATTGCTGTAACCACACCCCCAGGGCATTTGCCACCATCCATGAGTCTGTATAGAGGTAGAAC